AACAAGGACGTCAAAATATGCTAAGGGAATGAAGCCCAAGCGAAAATAATCAAAATACGACACAAATCTCGAAATTACCAAAACCCGACCCTTGGGCGCACGTCTCGGAATTCGATAATTTTTTTACATCAATAGATTCCTTATCTCCCCACGAGTTCATACATATCAAAAGTTCTGAAATCCGACCTCAAATGGTCCTTCAAATCCTCAAGCAAAGGTCTAAGTTTCCAAGCCCTAGTTTCTCCAATTTTCACCCTTAATTTCCATGATTTCTAGCTCTAATCCGTGAAATAATAGCATAGGAAAGAGTTTTAGGTCCAAATTCCTTACCTCAATGAAGTTCCCTTGAAATCCCTCTTTGAAATCGTCCAAAAAGCTCCAAAGCCGAGATAAAAATGGTGAAATAGCTCAAAATTCGCGAAGGACACAATTTATACCTTCTGCCTAGACATTTTCGCATCTGCAGCTATATTTATGCTTCTGCGGTCAAAACCACCGCATCTGAGGTCCTCACTTAAACTCTCATTTCCGCATCTGCGATCTAGTATCCGCACCTGCGCCATCGCAGGTGCGGTCTTCCAACCGATTCTGCGGTTCCTGACGACTTCTCCAAATTCCGCTTCTGCGGCCACTCTTCCGCTTATGCGGCGCCGCACCTGCGATCCCCAATCCGCAGTGCGAAAATACCAGAAGCAGCAAATTCAGCAGCTGCAACAAAGTCTCAAACTCCCCATCAACCATCCGAAATCACCCCGAGGCCCCTGTGACCTCAACCAAACGCACTCACATATCCCAAAACCTTATTCAAACTTATTCCAATCATCAAAACACCTCAAACAACATCAAATCAACCAGAACACATCGGATTAAAGCCAAACTTTCTAAAATCTTTCGAATTCCGATTTTGATCAAAAACCCAACCAAACCACGTCCGAATGACATGAATTTTTGCACACACATCCCAAATACACAATGGAGCTACTGCAACTCTCGGAGTTCCATTCCGATCCCTATATCAAAATCTTGCCTACCAATCGGAAATCGCCAAAATATCAATTTCGCCAATTCAAGACTAAATCTACTCCGAACCTCCAAAACTCATTCCGATCACGCTCTTAAGTCTCAAATCACCTCCCGAAGCTAACCGAACCATCAGAACTCATATCTGAGTCCTCTAACACATAAGTCAACATCCGGTTGACATTTCCAACTTAAGCTTCCTCAAAAGAGACTAAGTTTCTCAAACCTTACCAAAATCATTCCGGATTCAATCCGACCAACCCGATACTACATAACACGGATAAACAAAGCATAAATAAGCAGAAATAGGGGGAATGAATTGGTAACTCATAATACGACTAGCCGGGTCGTCACATTTACGTTGTACATTTTCACCACCCTGCTTAGGCATGCCTTATCAGGGAAAAGCATGCCCTTTGACAGCATCATTGTTCTAGATTCATCCCACATTGCTGTCCGAATTTCATCAATATTCCTTATGAGGGCATACATATCCGGCGTACTTGACAAATGATCAAGGTAGGGAATATGACTTAAATGAAACGGCACGTGGGATTCGTACACTCTTGGTCTAATGGGAGGTAGAGCATGCCACCTCGTTAAATCAGGTTCGGCATTCTCTTCCTCCTCCTCATCGCCTTCGTTAGGGAAGGGTGTGTCATCTCCAGACTCATCGGCATTTTGTCATAATCATTATTCTCTTCCTGATTCTGCGCATCTGCCAGATCCCGAGTAAATACGTCATCTTCGGGGAATTAGGTAAGGACATGATCATCAAGTTGCTCGTTTTCACTGCACAACCAAAGAAATAATAAGTTATTGAAATTGGTCCAAACAATACATATAACTTTATATATTCACTTACAAATCATAATATGTTGATATCCCATGATGCACATTATCTTGTTGATGTTGACTTCTGGATGGACCACTATGATCCAACACACCAGAACTAGGCATATTCCAACTGATCGTTGGTTCATAACTTGTAAATTCATATCTGGTTGGTACCCACTGAGAAGTATACGAGTGTTAATACAAATATAATACACAAAAATATACATCATAATATAAAGAAAAATTAAAGTTTACCACTCGGCTTATGGATTATGTATACTAGGGGAAAATTATTTTCTCGCTCCTCATTCGCTCGTGGAGATAAGTTTAGATCCGGCCAAACTCTTTCAGCTGGAACATGATCAGCTAAAACTGCTCCAAATTAACCACCTGATGATTGAGAGATTTCCCTACTTTGCGCAATCTCATTATTCTGTACATCTTCAGCCTTGACATATATTTCCAACAGTTTTATCACAATAAATTCCCGGTATTCATCCGGAGTCCCCAAAAAATCTCTCAGAGTTTCATCGTCTTCGATGTTAAACTCAGCATAACAAGCAACCCTTGCGGAGTCACAGAATATGGATATCTTCCGGTTATTTTAAGATTCACTGAACGTTTGCTCACACTCATTTTTTTTACATGTCAACGATATCAATTTATCGTACTCCATTGTAAGTGGCAACTTAAAATGAGACTGTGGAGATAAACTATAGCTTACTGAGTTATTCGTCACCACAACCTCACTCCCTCACCCCAATATAATGAAACCCTAATTTTTTGTTTCAGACATTATGACAAAATGCAAAACAACTTAGCAAAGAAAATTTCAGAACACTTGAAAATCTTTATGAATGAATTTTTACAAAATCCTTCACCTCTTTAAATAAGGCAAAATCCAGTCCGGGGGTTTAATTATTTGAGGTATAGTGTCTTTTAAAAAATTGTTATACCCAGTTGAATTATTGTTATGTCAGTTAAGCATAGAAGAACGCTATATATATAACATTTTTTAAAAAGGCGTTATACTTTATTGGCCACGCGGTCATTAAAGTATAGCATCTTTCAAAAAAATGCTATATATATTTTGATCACTATTCCACATATTTTAATTCTTTGAATCCAAAAGAATCAAATTTTGGTTCCGGACTACACAAAAGACAGGAAAAAAAAAATTCGGCCTCTGTTCCAGAAGTAGTCAAAAACCCCAAAAAGGAAAGTTACAGTCCAGCAAACGACCAGACATTCAAATTCATTCTGGTTATAATAATATCGACCCGTCGCTGGTCCCGACAATGAAAGAGGACACCACAAACGCCCATTTGACTAACCAACGTACCGTACTGTTCCCATTCTGGCTCACATTTTCACTACTACTAACTTTCACTTTCACCTATTCTTAATATTAGGGTTTAACCATATACTCTAACTAAATTTTACACCATGATATATTTTAAGATGTGGTTGAATTTGAACTCCTAAAGATTAGAGTTAAATTCAATGCTCTGACTTCAAAACCGCAAAACCAACGTGACTTCTACGTATTATTTTTAAATATTTTTAAAAAGTCACAAAGATCCAAGAATATTGCATAGGATACCAAAATACCATCCAAAGGAGGGTTCTCGTAGTTTGACCAAGACAGAGAAGAAAAACAACGACCAAAAAACGAAGTTATCTACTTGGGTACAGGGCAGGTTCATCCCTTCACATGCGATCCATCTACTGCATCTAGAAACAATCTTCTTGTTTAATTTTATTATTGTTACTTAAAATTGTCAAAGGTCCACCTTACATTTTTATAATCATATAAAAAAAGTAGACCATTTAGAAAACAATTAATCTTTTAATAGGGGCACCTTATGCGTGCTTCAATTATTTCGCGAATTTTAGATCTATGGATCTCATCTCCCCAGCATCAAAGCGAGACTCCATCCAAATTCTGCCACTCCTTAGGCGAGGCCTTCTGTTCTATGAAAACACCCTACCACTGAATGATTCACTTTTAAGTTCTCGCCTCTGACCCGGGAGAACACAGAGTCAAGCCAAGCCCTGACCCGCCTAAATGGAATTCATATCTCCTTCGTCTGGTCGAGATCACCAACATAAATATCGAATGACTTTGCCCGTCAATTTTTACACAATATTAATATTAATCTCGTATCTTTGTAGCTTCCTATCCGCAAATTTCTTTTGATATATATTGTTTCTTTCGCTTTGATTATTCTATCACCTTATTTGGCGGTTATTATCACTTGTTGTATTTGTCTTTTTTAAATTTTCTTTGAGCCGGGAGTCTATGAGATTACACCGAATATGTTATTATTGAAGGGAAAAAAAATAATATCCTCCGTCTTTATAGTGTTTCAATCTTTATTCTCACGATTTTACCACACTTAGGTGATGACTTAGATCACATCTTTAGAAAAATAAAATACAAATTTTCGATATATGTTAATTGGGACTGAGACGATATTATTATTATTTATGTATTATCTTCGTGACTATGAGTTTTGAGCAATCATTAAACCCACTGTATGCCTATTGACTTTGCATATACATAATAAGCTGTGCAAGTTGCGTCCCACGCCCTCCACTCAAATCGCTGTCTTTGGGTCAATCACAAGTATTAATTTCCAAAGATTCATCTCGAACCAACATCTCTCCCTCAATTATTATTCTTGGAAAATAATGTTGATTAGCCAAAAATAATTAATCTCGACAATTAGCTGGACCATATACATTGAATAATGCAAACAACATATACATTGAATAATGCAAACAACACTATCTCCTAAAAAGTCCAAACTGATGTCACACCCACCCATTAATCAATATTCAAATTATAGATTAAAGTTTGTCAAACGTCTCACTTACGACACGTTCTTGTTTAAACTAATCTCAGTTTAATTGATTCTTTAATCCTATTTCCCATTGACTAACTATTGCGGTGGGAGCAAAACTATTTTTTTATTGGATTTTAGTGGAAGCCGGAATAAGTGGACTTCCTCGTTAGAACCACTCAACGTGTATAAACAATTGTTCGTCAAATCGATACCCATTAGGAATTAAATAACGAAAAAAAATCTTCCAACAAGATATGTATAGTATTAAAAAAAGAAAATAACGTAAGAAAATTGGAAAATGGAAAAGTACCCACTATGTTGCATTGATTCAATTCCCACCAAATCCACAATTTGCTCTCTATCTCTTCTTTTCATTTTCCACGCAAAATCAAAAGTTTTCAACGACAATTACATAGAGAAACAAAAATAAACAAATGTTGCCTCTTCCTTTTCATTTTCCTCTAGGCGTTGACCATTTGATCTTTTGCATTAAGCTTTCAACGGTGCTGATTTAGTCTTCACAAATCCAAATAAGATCTGAGCCGTTGAGATTAAGAAGATTCAAGGACATGAGCAGCTGGTGATTCTGTAATTGAATGGGAATGATTGTGTTCTCCTTCATATGTAACAATTAACATAGTTGGATCATCTAGTGCTCTCTCCACATGTTTACGTGCTGGACATCCTCTTACACTACTACATTTGTAATATCCCCTGAAAATTTAAAGACCCAAAAACATTAGATTTATATACTAAACTCAAATTTAACTCAAAGAACCAAAATAATACTTATAATAAGGCATAAAAACTTACCTAGGATGAGGAGAGCCTTTAATTGGCTTTTGGCCATATTTTCTCCAAGAATAATCATCAGGTGGAATATCAGCCATTTTCATGCTTATAGCTGGGACTCTCACCACTCTTTTGACTCTTGATTTCCTGAATTAAAATTTCAATTAAACAATCAAAAATACATTCATATTCTAAAATAACAAAGGCAAAGATCTGTATATATTTGTTGCTTCAAGTGGTAAAGATGATATCTTACAGTTACTCCCAAATTATATGTCGTAATTTCTAAAAATAATTATCTCAAATTATTATTTTAAAAGTTCAGGCAAAATTAATTACTTAATTTTTTTCATTTCTCTGTTTTTGACCCTTAGAAGTTCCAATGAAGAGTGATTATAACGTAGCACACAAATAAAGTTAAAATACTAGTCAAAAACCCTTCTAATTAATATACGGCGTAAAAGAGAAACACTACATATAAATTGAGAAGTAAAATTTGTACCTTTTCTTTGGGCAGTGGCAACGACCAGAGGAACCACCAGCGCTGTTACACTTAAGGGCAGTATCGTCCATAGAACTACACTTTCTTTTAAATGAAGAAGTAGAAAGCGGCGGCCGACCGGCAGATGAAACAGTAGAGAGATTTGTTATTTGAAAACCAGAAGACAAAGACTGTTGCAAACTCTCTGTTTCTCCTGTTAAAGATGACATGAACGAATTCGCCGGAGATGCAGAAGCAAAATTAATAGTCGTAGATGATTCTTTTCTCTCAATCGACCCATTTTTGACCAATTGAAGATGGTTATGCGGTAAAGGAGGTAGACGTTGAATAGGTGTAGGACAGTAAATTTTGGGAGTATTTATTTGTGGCTTTTCGGTTTCTTCTATTTGAAGGTTCTGATTTTTGATAGAGTTTTGATTTAATCTTTGTTGCTGGGGTTTAGGAGGAGGAGGAAGAGGAGTAGAAATTGGACCTTTACGAAATCTGGCATGACCAGTTCTGTTTTTGTCAAGTAAAGAAATGAACTTTTTGAATTTGTTAACAGCAACATCAGCTACAGCTGTGTAATCAGCAGAAACAGAGGGATTTTGATCTAATTTTTGTTGTTGTTGTTGTTGGTTTTGATGAGATTGAGAAAGCAAACGGATTAGTTTCTCAACGCTTTGTAGCCCAGCTGTGGCTGCTTCTTGTACGGCGTTTTCTTCCATTTTGGTTGAAAAACTATCCCTTCTGCTATAACCACTAGTCATTAACTCTACAGCCATGTTTACAACAGAGAGAAAAAGTGAATAGAGAGAGAGGAAGGAGAAGATAAATAAAGGAAGGAAGATATAGAAGAAGAGAAAATGGTTGGAAATTCTTATTCTTATTCTAATGAAAGGGGTAGAGAGTCAAACATATGATGCTCTTTTTCTCTTTTTCTTTTGGTTTATATCGATGCAAATGAATGAACTGTCGCTTCTGACCTTATTGCCAATTAAAGGGTTAAGCCAATGAGATATAGACACGTTGATTATTCATTTCTTTGTAGGAGAGAAAAAGAGGGCATTGACTAAAGCTTTTTAAAGATGTGGGGGACCGGTTAACGGGTAAAACGGTGGAAAATGGAAGATGACGAGATATGGTAGAGGCAGAAAGTCAAAAGGTAGTAATGAGCCGTTGGATTTAGATGAATGAATTTGGGGTGAAAATAGGGGGTGTTAGGTTGGAGCCAGTGAGGTAGAGTTGACTCTTTTAACAGCTTTTAATGCAAAAGTCTATTTGGTAGGGAAGCTTTTATCTTTTTCCTTTTAAGGATATGATGATATTTGAAATTTATTTGTTTGATCAATACAGATTTCAAACAAGGAGAGATTCACGAAGTAGAGAACGTTCTTCATCAACGAGTTCTTTGTTTTCAAGATTAGAATTAATGGAAAACTTTAATAAGGGGGAAGATAAAAACGAATGAAAATTAAGTTTAAAGAGTTCACTTAAATTTGTTGATCATATCTCTTTCTGTGATCACTTGATAAAGGAATCCCGACCATCATATGTAGAGGCGGACCTACCCTTACGTTATAGGGGTCATCATCCCTTGGAAACTTCGGAAAAAATTATACTTCCTTCGTTTAAATTTATATGATGTTGTGACTTGGAATAATATTTAAAAAAAAAAAGACTTTTAAAATATGTGGCCCTAAAAGCTCAAAGGGCAAAAGTTTTGTTGGGTCATGATATTTGTACGAGTATAAAAATTTCTCATTAAGCATAAGTGTGTAAAATGAAGAGTTTAAAGTAATAGTATTATTTTCAAATATAGAAATGAGTCACTCTTTTTAGAATGAATTAATTAGGAAAGTGTCATTTAAACTGAAACGGAGGGAATACTATGTATATATGTGTATATATCTTAAATGACATGTATATAATTTGATTGGCATTGGCATCTTAAAAGTCAAAATTTATGAAGCTCCAAGAGTTGATTTTAGGAGACACAACTTGACTTTCGTTAGTGGTGCTTCCGCTACTTTCAAATCATGAGTCCTATTTAATCCAAAAAATGAGTAACAATTAAATTTGTACGCGGTTTAATTCAATATGAATAATTAAGAATAACAAATAGATGAATTAAAGATAAAATAAACGATCAAACCAATCACAATGTAATGACCAAGCCTGATCTCAGCTTGAACAGTGGAACTTGCCTCGATTGGGCCCTCGGTACAAGTTCGGTCGCGGTTGAAGAGAAGAATCAGTGAGTAACACCTTGAACAGTAGCTAGAAGACAAAAGTAAACTTTTATTGGATTGAACTGCGTGTTACAATGTGTCAAACTAAAGAAAAACTTCCATTTATATAGTAGGCGAATTTTAATCCTAGTACAAGTCTAAAAAAGGTAAAAAAAAATCTTCTTTTTCCGGTAATTGTTGATATATAATTGATACTAAACGAGATCCGTGCCGTAATATTTGGTTGATGGCGAATATTACGGTCATCTATCCGCCATGCATAACCATTCACCGCATCTTCCGAAGTCCAGAAGCCATTATTGGTCTAGGGTACGTCGTTTTATCGTGTCCGATCTCAGATACATCGTTCATTCTTGCTGGGTCTCGATATGAGGGGTTCCTAACCTCGATTATACTCACGTCGATCAGTGCTTCCATTTCGTTCTCTTACCGGAGAAAATTTTGCCCTCTGTTTTACCCGTACACAGATAGCCCCCTTATTTTTCGGAGAATAGATTTATCGAAGCGACGGAAAGCGATAAATTAACCCTGGTTCCTTCCTCCGTACGTTACAACCAAGTTGACGGGTCAACGAAACGTCTCATCTATCGCGTCGTTCTGACTTCGAACACGTGTCAACCGCCGGTTGACTATCCTCGAATGTGAAACATCACGCATTGATTATCCTTCTTCTATAAAAGCTCCGACCCCTTTTTCACTTTTTCACTTTCCGATTCGAGAGCTCTTTGATTTACCCTTAAATTCTCCACTTAACTCTAACCTCTTCAAATCTCCATACATTGCTTCTTAGATCTTCATCTTCAAATATTCATACTTCTTCTTTAAATCTTCAAACCAGACCTTCATATCTTTATCCCCATCTTTAAATCTTCATCCTCATCTTCAAACCTTCGTATTTTCCCTCAAGCCTTCATATTTTCCAGAATCTGATGGCAAAAATATCCAAATCCGTGCCTCAGCCAAACGCCCCTTCAACTTCCAATGATCCACGAACATCGAGCTGGAAATTCCCAAAGTGGTCTCGGAGCATCCCTTGAAGAGTTTTGTTCCCGGGGGGTTGCTCCATTGAAAACGATTTCAAAGTCGAGAAGGCCTTTAGTCAATAGGACCGAGGCGAAGGAGTATGAAGGTACATATGCTCCATTACCGAGGACATACTCCCCACAGTTCGGGTGAACTGCAACTGGAAGGGCAAGGAGGTGATTGTTCTCGGGTCCAATGAAAACATCACCACTCACGTTGAGGGGTATCGAAGTGTTTACACTTAGCCCTTCACGCTCGCCCAGGTAGACCCTATAATCCTCGGCTTCTGCAAAAGGTATGAGGTCTGCCTTGGACAGATTCACCCGTACTTTTGGATGATCATAAACCTCTTATGTCACTTCGTATATAACAGCGAAGCACCTCGGTTCACCCTCGATCACCTACTTCGTCTCTACATCGAAGTTTCTAATGTAGTCTCCCCGCTTTAAAGAATGGATCGAGGGGATTTGCAAACAAATGTCTTACTTCGAGTGCGAATGGCGCAAGCTCTCAAATGCCATGTGGGAGGCTCGTTCCCATGGAGAGTCTTCTGCCCGAATAATTACATTTACATACTTAACTTTTATATTTGCTAAGTCTTTTTCACTTTCACATGTTTTCCCAAGACCATCGAGCTTCGCCCATTGGATGAGGATGAGGCCTTGTCCTAACTTGCTGAACCCTCCGCTTCGGGACAGCCCGGAGCCGCCGTAAAAAAGGAGAAAAAGAAGAAAAAGAGGAAATTCATTGGGTCCCCGGACGACGAGGTGAAGAAGAAGAGGGTTGCTATCTGGGTCCTGCAAAATTATTTCTAAAACTCCTAATTATTAAAACAATTTGAGTCATTGATCAAAATATCCAACGGCTCCCGTTCCATCTCTTGGTTTTAATTCAGAGTTACCCTAAAAACCCTACTCATTTTACCTTAGAGCAGCCGCCCAATTTCCCCTTCTTCTCTCATCTCTCTCAAACTCTCACACCCATCAATCACCCAAAACCTTGCTCTAGTTAGTGCAAGGTCATGAATTATGACCATAAAACGTTCCTTCTGCCTTCATTACCCATGATTCTCGCGGAAGCCTTACTCATTTCGCCTTTGATACTCAAAGTCCCAAATTCGAAAACCCTAACTCAAAGATGAAACTTCAAATCATCTGAGGTTTTCAAATCCATGGCAAGCATGGCCATCCTTTCTGTCTTTGTACTACGAAGCTCATAATATTCTTTCCATTTTTGCCATTTAATCTCAATAGCCCTACTTGAAGAAGTCAGATCAAAGGGCAAAACTTTAACTCGTCATATCTCTTACCTCGTCGTTTCAAATCAAAGCGAGTTTGGGATGCTAGCTGGCTGCAATGTTGATATTCGACACCTAGAGGTCAAATGCAATGACTTCTGGTATTAGGGTTCTAACCAGCGGTGTCTCGTACCTCACCGATTAGCTTCCATCTTCTCAAGTAAATCCCTAAATGATTTTCCCCTCTGTCTCTATGATTTTTACCCGACTATGTTCACGTCATCAATCCATCGTCATTCTCCACTACCATTTTGAATTCGCTGAAACCCTAATGGATCAATGGACACTAAAATTAGGGGCTTTAATGTTCTCACCTAACAACACCTAAAATCTTCAATTGACATAGCTAATACACTTAATTCTTTCTGAAAATCAAAGATACGGTAGATTTTTTCTTAAGCTTTTCGAGTTCTTATTCAATTTCTGCCTTTTCTCTTTCTTTGGATCTGAGTTCTTCACTGGTAAAAAGCTGAGCTTTGGTTCCTGAACGGCTAACATGAACACTCGTTTGGTTTGGTGCTCAATAGGAGGTCAGTATACCTCTATCCTCCCCCTTAATTGTTACATTTAAAATCACAAACATATTTTTTTTGGTTAACTGCTTAGTCTATAATGTTTATTTAGCCTTTAGTCACTTATTTTATTCATTATTATTGGTTGATGATCTATGATAGACTGTTGTATCTATTTAATGTTAATTGAGTAGCTATATGACTTTAATGACCTTTTTTTCTGTACTGAATGACCTATGTGTTTAAGCTGTTTAACCTGCTGATTTCTCACATTTTGCCTAAACCTCAGACCCGGCTCTAATGTTTTGTTATAACCTTCATGTTACATTTTAAGTTTTGTTAATGTCTTGTTGCAACTTTCATAATCTTCATGTTGCATTTTGAGTTTTGCTCCAATTAATGCTCTATTATAACTTTCATGCTCATCATGTTGCGCCCTGAATTCTGTTCGACCTAATGTTCTATTATAAGCTCTTATGATTCATCATGTTATATTCTCTTCTAAGTTCTGTACTTAAGTTATGTTATTGTCACGACCCAATTTTAGTTTAGGTCGTGATGGCATCCAGCACCATTGCTAGGCAAGCCAACAGTGAACAATCTAGTAATTTCCATTTTTTAATAAGTTTTTCAAACAACTAACTTTCCTTAATTTAAAGAATTTAATGAATAACGGATTTTAAAGTAATCAAAATGAAAGCAATTAAATGAAATCATAACCATAGAAATACAACCCAAAATCATAAGTCTACTAGTGTGTGCCAAGACCCGGTATCACAAGTATATGGGCTACTAGTAGAATATACAATAAATTTTTAATCTATTGCGTTAAATGGAGTAGTTAGAACAAATAAATAAAATGAAGACTTCAGCTGCTGTAGAACGGCT